TTAATCCAGTAATAAGTACATAGTAATGTTTGGCTACAGTCCAAGTAACGCTAATAATGCAGACAATGCAGCACATTCTCCTTCGAGGATTAGTTGTGGTATTGCAATACAAGAAATCTCAATAATTCTTCGCAACTGAATTACTCAATTTAATAAATAATCTAATTTCGACCCACCTTTGACACATGATGGTGATTAAAATGATTCGTTTATGTAACGACATACACTCAAGTGGGAATGTGGAAGTAAATCCAGTCATATTGTGTTGTGTGATGAAGCGTCGTTCGTCCAAATGGCCCAGGAAATAGACAGGAACCATTATAGGTGGTGAAACGTTTATTGGAAAGAAGCGATTATTTATTGTAAATCTTTGTCGATAAAAGCCGGAACATAAACAATATTGATTGAAATAATTTACGAGGAAAGAGCTTGAGCACTAAACTCTATCTGCTGCCATCGGGACTAAGTCGTATCGAATGGACGTTCTAAAATTGATTCAAAATCGATTTTTAGTTTCGGTGTTAATTTGGGAGATTACCGAACTTAAATTGTACTGATAAAGCTTGCAGTGAACTCCGGAAATTAAATATGTCAACTTTTAAATAATACAAACTCGTTGCTTTGGCGTGAAATTATTCGAACGCTTCAAAATCGTGAAAAAAACAACAAAGGCAAACACTGAATAAAATTATTTAGGGATGCTTTAAAACGCAGATGAATTTTAAATAAGCTGTGGCAATTAATTTACACAACGTTGTTCCCGGTGAGAATTAAAAGTGAGAAATTTTTAAAGTGAATCGTGAAACAATCACTCGCAAATCGCAATAAAACATTTATTTGAAGTTTGACTATTAATGGATGAGTGAAACAATATACACGATGAATTTTAATAACAAGAGAGAAAAAAACACTGTTGACCATTTATTAATTTTAAATATTCAATTCATGGACACAAAAAAACAATTTTTCATTATTTCCACAATAATTTTAATTCACTCGTAATATTTTTTTAGATTTTATTTCATAAACTACGTTTAAATTTCATAATTTACAAAAGTGAAAATATAAATAAAATTCAGATTTAAATTTATATTTATGAATAATGCATTCACTTCTTAAACTTTTTAGGCGGAAAAATATGACAGCTAAATACCCTGATGGTAGCAAAAGTTTGCAATTTTTAGCTTGCCTGTCCAAAGAGATGTTTATGATTATGGGCGTTTTTTTAGCAAACAGCTAACACGGATATTAGCTTAGCTTTTAACTTCTCATCGTTTAATAATATGATATTATTGGTTCTTTTAGAAAAATCATTTTTTAATGAAGTAAAAATACAATACTTTTTTATTTTTTACTGTTTAGAAATTTTTCATTTCAAAATCAATAAAGGGAAAACCCAATACTGTTTATCCCAATATAACCGCTATTCTTCCACCCCCGCCTTGCTCTAATCAGCTCCAGTGATCAGAAATTTGTAATTTCGTAGTATTTCCCTACGTTATAACGCCTACAATTCCAGCAGCAGCACGACCGGTCGTTAGAAGTTCGCAACAGCAATGGCGGATGTGCGCCTAGCACCAGTGGTTATTCGTTTTTAGTAATAAAATCAAACATTTATGGTGATTCGGCACGAACAGTGTCAAATATAAAGCGACGTCGCCCTCTGTCGTGATTTGATATTCACGTGTTATCGCACGTGTATCGCGTTGTAGATTAGCACCATTTGACCACTACCCTCCAGGGACACTCAAAATGTTTAACCGGAGTTTACAAACGCTTCGATAATTCACCCTTCAGTTAATAATCATCCATTATGGAATCGAGAGTCCTTCAAAATAGCCTACAAGCGGCAATAACTTCATCTTTATTTACATAAGCTAATACAACAGTTTTCCGTAATTTTAAACCGCAAATTGTCTAATAATTTGCTGGCTCGGCTTAATGAGAATGGTGTGTTGCAATTCTAATGCTTTGCTTTTCAACTAGAACTGTTTGGTAATTGCAAATCCATGTAACCGTGTTGTTGTATCGGCTGAAAGGCAGTTTTGTTATGAGTTCTGCTCAGAGACAAAAATTCCAGAAATGAGAGTTGAATCATAAAAATCTTCCTATCGGATATACACAAGCCCATTAAGCCAAATTGTTATGTGTAACATATATTCTATAGAAATGTTGAGATGCAATCAACTGAAAAAATTTAATTTTTTTAAACCTTATTGTCATATAATGGCACTTTCTAATTAAACTAAAATTTTATAAAATGTTGAATCCTAGTCAGGGAGCTGTCTGGTTATTAATTCTCTGCGGGGTTGTAAAATACCAATTTTGAGTAATTCTGCATAATAAAATCAGCCCAACAGGAAGAAGGCGACCTTACGAGGAAATTCACTTTATTTCATTATGAATGTGTACGCCAGTAATTACAACGTGCCACCTATAAATTGACTTGTAGATGTATATTATAATAATAATTACACGTCGCTGACATGAAAGGCACTCCACAATGCCTGAAATAACCGTTCCGAGACATGTAACGTCGAACTTAAACCAAATAAAATAAATTTCCAAGTAGTGAAACGGAAAAAGTGGCCAACTGGTAATGGCAGTATCAAGCTCGCAATTGATTCCACCTTGTTGACATTGCTATTGTTCGGCAGTTCGGTAATGCAATGCCAATATAGGGAAGTATTTTATGCGAATCTCTGACAAGTATTGTTAATATTTATGAACCATTTCATGATTACATTCGTTGAACTGGCTAATGTGATTTATATTAGATCCCAATTATCATATCATACCGACATACACTAGCTGCATAAATCTATTAGTTGATATTTACAATCGCTATTTTATATCACACACGACGTATATTTGATCGTCATACTAAACGCATTTTCCGATTCAATATTGCAAAATGGGGCCATTTACCATCGGCTGCGACACAAGGATTCCATTTCAACGGAATATCACACGGTTTTTATATTTAATCTAAAGTCTTTAAAACGTTTTTCAAAATATTTTTTTAATGCAAAATCTTTGATCCGGGTTTGGCTTGAAGGAGAACAAGCACACATAAATAAATCGGCTTAAACGATATCAGAAACGCAACATTATACATTACTTGAATACAAAACAGTTTTAATAAATATTGATTTTTGTGAGCTGTATTATGGAGACACATCATCTACATAATTGCATTGGGAATTCACGTTTCATAATGAAATTCTCTAGTTCCGCATTGCATTTACCAAACTAAAATTCAACAAAAACTATGTTTATGTTTTTATTTATATTTTGTGATTTTTAAGTGGAAAAAGGTTTAGCTGTCTGCCATAAAAATTTAAAATTGTTCATATTTAATTTCGGCGTTCAATCACGGAGTTGATCAAACTCGGCAATACAATTTAAGTTTGGTAATCTTCCGGTGGCTTACTTTTAAACAAGAATTAACACCAGCGAGGCGGCGCCCATTGAACTCGAAATTTCGCATTGTATTTTTCGGCGAGGCAATTAATAGGCACACCTCTACCGTTTATTGTTTGGTCCTTCATAATGGAAAATTGAGTTCCTTCCAAAACGAAATCCGAGAGCTTTGAATAAACCTCGTATCGTATTGTTTGCGGAATGAGCCGGATTCTACTTAAAATAGGCGATATATTTTGTTCTAGTGCCATTGTTGTTTTCGTTGATATGCAAGGCACAATTTGCATTTTCTTAACGGATACAGCCGGCACGAAATTGCATCGCATGATCGCCTCTCACCGTTTCACTCCTTGTTTTCCACCACCTTATCTCCGATACATCCGCAAGATAACGAATTACAATCCTGCGAATAGATTCCAAGGATATACCGGACGAGAAATATCGCCTGCCCGCAGGACATCTACACACACGTACTTTAACCTCACTCGGGGCGGCTTTTAAACGGTTTTTAACCCTTTGCAAATTGGATGGGCATCTAGGCAAGAGACGCAAAGCCGGCCTGACAAGGTTTAGGCATTTCTTGAGGCAAAAACTACGATAAAGGCACTAATATAAGATTTTACAAGGTTTCTTATGTTAAACTCTTATTATATTATACATAGCAAAATTAGACACTAAAAACGCCACAAAATATGTTACAGTAGTTTGCTCACAGTCCAAAATTTTTAGAATAAACATATACAGGGTATTTCACGAGTGATAATGAGCCTGACGGAATTGAAAATACAACCCACAATACATTTGCAAAGTTAACGTGGATATTTTAGATATCGCATTGTTTGAAAAACCGAATTATGAATCCACGATAGCTTTGCTTCGATAATTTTATTTGTCACAACCATGTCACAACTGACATTAGCAAAATTTCAAAATGCATTCGAACGATGAGAAAACAGATCTGATTCTCATGTATGGCGAATTTGGAAAAAATGCTTCTGCCGTTGAACCTTTGTAAAGACAATGTTTCCTGTATAGAAAAGCTCCAAAAAGGCTTGAAAGTGACAATAACCTTAAAAACTGTGTTTTTTTTTTCTTGTCAATTTCTTTGTGTCAGTTACGTGATAACTATGTTTTATTACTTTTAAAATTCATAATCAAAATCCATGAAGCCTATGCAAATGTATTGCTGGCTGCAGTTCAAATGTGGTTAGGCTCATTATCACTCGTGAAATACCCTGTATAGCTAGAAGAATTAAAGTGTTTCTTTTACAGTTTACTGTATATAAAAACAGTATTAAACAATAGCTTTTGTCAGTTTTGTCACCTCCCCCTACATGTTTCTCTTGTCTACAACATGTCTCTTTACCTTCGTAATAAACTTAACTCATTCGATGTTGGTTGAATCAAGCCCAACGACAGCTGCTGACGGGTGACAGATGAACTGTCATCCCTAGTAATAGTCCTTCATCCTCCATAGCGTCCATTGCGGTCGCAAACTCAGTTACCTCGTCCATGCCAAGCAAAAACCCATCTTCCAATTACCAACTCGACCGTATATAATTGCGTCTCTGTTCCAGCTTCGATGTTCGTGGCAAGCCTCTGTCCAGAGCGAGTCATTGGTCCGCACCGGATCTGTTCGGCTCTAGAGCCTACTTCCGGACGGTGTCTGAACCCGCACAGCTCGTCATTGACGACATCCGGCGTCACGACGAAGGCGTCTACCGATGCAGAGTGGACTTCCGCAATGCACAGACCCGCAGCTTCCGATATAATCTCACCGTCATTGGTAAGTATGGAACTTTTTCATACACATTATAATGATTGATTTGAGGGGCCCTAAACGTGGCTGTAAGGGAAAAAGTGCACACCTGCGTCCTTTATGATTTTGAGTAATTATTGTTGTTATCGGGCCAACAACCTCGCACCGTGTTGAGGTACTCCATTTGAAAGACTTGTAAACATTGAACCGGATTTAATTTAGTGCAAGGTTAAATAGATGTTATTTCGATTAACATAAGTACCATATTTATAATGTGTGTCAAGGTTATATCATACACTTTAAATGGGAAGTGAATAAATTTACAGTAGAAATAACTGTGGCAGTTGTCTGGGTACTAATAACTACACTTCGATACTAATCCTTTATGCGTACAGGTTGTCCCAGCGAGTTGAAAAAGTCCATTAGTGACCTTTAAATGGTAAAATTTAAAAAATAATTGTATAGGACATTGATAGATCTTGTGCATTATTCTCAACCATACAGCACGTCCCAAAAATAAGTTACGATAGAAACTTGTGTTTTTTTAAATGAAACACCGTATGTTTCTTGGCAGTTTTGGATGTGGTCTCTCAAAACAATGTTTTTACGCTAAACTTTTATTAGTTGATTTTGCTTAGTCTTAGAAAGAATACTTTTTTTGACGAAAATATGCACTTTTTAGAAATGTATTACACAAAAACTAGACAGCTAAAACAATTTTTTTCTTACTTCTGCAAAGAAGAAAGTACCTACAGAATTTAAAGCTGTAGCAATTTTTTAGTGTTTTGCATTTGTAAAGATTAAAAATGAAAGAGTTTGTTAAAAGTTAAATAACTTAAAAAATTTAAATGGAACACCTTATTTTTTATTTTTGCATCTAATAGAATGATAAATTGTTATAAAAAATTAACTTTTATTTTAATGTCTAGAATTGATAAATGAAAAGTTAACATTCAATATTAATTGTAGCAACAATGCCTATCAATATCTGAGCATTGTTGGTACTGTGGCAACCATCACTTATCGGATGATTTATCCAGAGATTGTAAAAGTCGTTATAAATACTAAATTCGAATTATTTTATTGTAAAAATAAAGAATAATAGATTCAATTTAACACAAATGTGATTATTAAGTGATATTACTTCCATCTCTTGTGCACTTTTGGGCCACTGAAACAATAGTATTTTTTTGTATAGGCTCCAGAAAACAGCTGTTTTAGGGACTCATTTGAGTCCCTAAAATGAGTCTTTTCCGGACTCAATAAGATAGTCCGCAAAATGGTTATTTTAGGTACTTAGTCCCCAAAAACAGTTTTTCCGGACTAAAAACTAAAATTGGTTACTATGGTGGCGAAATTTTTTTAATTAATAAGAGGTGTGAATTCATGTTTTGCGAGCTTTAACAAAAAAAATGTTGTTTGTAACACGTCTGTACCTAAAACGTTTTTGCGGACTCATCTGCTATTCCCGACTCGGTTTCACCTCATCCGAAAACAGCAACGATTCGTCCGCAAAAACTGTGTTTTAGGTAATAAAATAGTTATTTATGTATCAAGTAGTTATTTATGTATCAAAAGTTATTTATGCATATATTTATTTATGTATAAATAGTTATTTATGTATCAAAATAGGGTTTTAGGGGACGAATCGTAATTAATGACGAGGCGACGTAGGAGCCGAGTCTTTAATGAAAGGAGTCACCTAAAACCTTTTGCGTACGTGGTGCATACAAGATTTTTTTGTTAAAGCTTCCAAAACACGAATTCACACCTCTTACTAATTAAAAAAATGTCGTTACCTTAGTAACCAATTTTATTTTTTAGTCCGCAAAATCTGTTTTTGGGGACTGAGTACCTAAAATAACCGTTTTGCGTACTATTTTATTAAGTCCGGAAAAGATTCATTTTAGGGACTTAAAAGAGTTCCTAAAACAGCTGTTTTCGAGAGCGTATACAAAAAATAACTATTTTTTTAATGTTAACTTTAATTATCTTTTATTCTTCGACACTGTCAAAACTTACGGTTTTTCTCCCGTGTAAGGAAGTTTTGACAACTGTTTGGCATTTCTCAATACGAAACGTCAAATTATTTTTAACAGATTTAAAGCAAGTTTAAGCCTTGTTGAGTCTAATTCGAAGAATAAAATGTTGTATTCCACTCGTTTGAGTGTAAATCGGACGCGTTATTCCACCTCGTGGATGGTAAACCACTCGTTACACTCATGGTTTAATAATCCACTCGGTCAAATAAAGAGTCCCATTTACACTCAAACTCGTCGAATAAATAACTATTTAGTTATTCATTATAAACACCTAAATGAAAATAATTTTAGAAAGAGAATTTAATAATCTTTTAAATGCAAAAACAATAAATAGGGTGTTCCATTTAATTTTTTTAAGTTATTGAACTTTTAACAAATCCCTTCACTTTTTTATTTTTGCAAATGCAACAGTAGTAAAAAAATATTTCTAGATGTCTTAGTTTTTGTGTAATAAATTTTTAAAAAGTGGATGTTTTCGTCAAAAATACCCTCTTATTTTTAAAACTAAGCAAAATCGATCAACAAAAACGCTAAAAAACATATGGTGTTTTATTAAAAAAAAAAAAACACAAGTTGGTATTGTAACTTAATTTTGAGACACGCTGTATAGTTGTATCTATCAATGTCCTATTTATTTTTTTAAATTTGATTATTTAAAGGTCACTAATGAACTTTTTCAACTCGCTTGGACACCCTGTATAAAGTAATTGACAATATACAATATTTCTCATATTTCAAGGTACTGAAAACTATCAACATAATAAATGGTGTTTCTTGATCCTTTTTCGAAAAACAACTCTACAATTCACGTCGAAAATTGTCTTAATATCTTTCCAAGAAGCCAACGTGTAAAGTAGCATAGTGGGACGCATAATGTCACGATGACTTACTCAATATAGCTCGCCTCTAGAGATTCTTAAAAGCTCTGGAACTTTGTTACTACGGTTATCCAATAATTTGAATTTTTTTCTTTATTATTAGAGGCATACTTTCAAATGAAGTTTGATGCGTTGATGCGCTAATGTTGTGGTGGTCTATGTTCCCAACGGTTTAAGCAAATTGCTTACTTAACAATTTTCGCTACCGTTTGTGGCACTATAAAAACTAATTTTGGTTAATCTCGTAAACATGAAATAAAATGTGGCTATTATACATGAAAATTTGGAAATTTACTTTTATGAGATCATACAAGCGAATACCGTTTTCCAAGGGAAACTCCTGTTTCGTTTTATTGCTTACCCCACACCAAATTGGCTAAACTTATAAAATAATATTATAACTACCAATAATAATTGAAGTTAACTTAGTTTTATAATAAAGTTAATACTGTTAGAAATTGACGAACAAGCAAACCGAGTAAAAAAAGTTAATAAAACAATAAGGTAGTTTATATCACGTTCTGGTAGTTAACTGTTATTCAAACTAAAATAAAGTTTAATTATCTTGTAACTATAACGAGTTTAATAATTCTTGAAGAATGGTTTTAGAGTGTCCATAAACTCTACTTCCTAATAGCACTTTTTTAAAAATAATAAAATTTAACTAACTTGCCTTGAACCACTTTGACAGAAAGGACCGGTTTGTTGCGTCATTAAAAGCAGCTTTAATTTAACTAAATCAAAGTTAATTGATATGTGTGGTCAGAAGTAGAAAAAGTAACCCTTTTGTGCCCAGCCTTTTACTGCCCCGATCCCACATCACTGTTACGAGTATGGCTGTGTTTGCATGGCGAAGTGTTGGCTCGTTGACGATTTGCTACATTTAGTGAAAATTACACGCACAGCAATTCTCGCTATTGCTATTACTTAAAGCTATAAAAACTAATTAGATCGTTGACACAACAAACTTGCCTCATTCTAGACTGAAAATCTGCAACATTCCAAAATCTGGTTTAATTTTGTTAAAGTAATCATCACTAAAATGAAGTAATTGATTCTTTTCTCAAATTACTCATTCATAGACTGTTTAATATCTGACAGATATGTTTAATTACGTCTAGCTTAAAGCTGTGCTAGGCCAGATGGTGTCCCAGTCGACAGTTTGACCCTTCTAACCGCAGGACCAAGTCTTCAGGATAACGAAGTTAATGGGTCAGCTGATTAATGACCTGAATGCAAACACGGTCTTTATTTAAGTTTAAAAAGAGTATTACATATTATGTTTAATAGAATTTCCGCAACTAGAATAATGGGAATACCCATCTGCCCGCGGATTACAAGGAAATCAATAAAGAGTTCATTATATGATCCTCCGGCTTCAGCTTTAACGGATTTGAGGTCTTGCTTCAAAATCCTTTCAATCTCCTCTTCAAATAATCAGCGTATCGAATCCAATTTTCTGACAGATAAGTTCACTCCATTTATAACCTATTCAGGGTTTAAAACCGAGCATGTAGCTTTTTAAAGGCCAGTTTGGATTAATTTTTTGAGCGAAAAATCTGCATCTTGTTGCAGGGCGTAATTTGTTTTACACCGTCTTCATAAAATATTTATGAGTCCCAAGAAATGATAATAAATCAATAGATTTACAACGGGAGTTGCACCGAACGAAATTACAAATTTACAAATTAATAAACGTCGTATTCCAACGAAATCGCCTGTTTTTTTTATCGAGAATTTTATTGCTTTGATTCAATCTCGGCTGTTACAAAGTCACATTGAAATATCCATTGCACAGATATCAGTTTCCGATTCTAAGAATGCAACTCGCTGATAAATCTCATCGAGAGAAATCCATCGATGGTACTTCACCGTTTCAAGCGTATATAACGATTTTTATTACGTCTTATCGGGAAATTTGTTTAAGTCAGCCATGAAATTGGATATTAATCTCAAAATTTGACGATTGCATTGTATTAATTAAATTTTAAATCTTGATATAACAAACCTAGACTCAATTCAACTGTAGATAATTACCGATGAGATGTTGAGAATTTCCTGAAATAATATTTAATCACAGTGCGAAAAAAGTAAAACCATTCCTTGC